ATCTTAAGAGATGATAGGGAAGACAGTGGTATAAAAAGGAAGCACAGATAGGTATTTTGTTAACCACTTACTTAGAGAAAGTAGCAGATCTTAGCCCTGGCATTGTATTAGAATCACTTGGGAATCTTCAGAAAAAAATAAGGCTTCGGTCCCACCCCTGGAAATTTTGTGATAATTGTCCTGGGGAGAGCCTTAAACACAGCTTCCTGGGTGTGTTGGGGGGGGGAGACATATAGGCACCATTGGACCCCAGAAGTAGCTACAGTCTCCTCTATTCATGGTTTCCTCTTTGTCCCAGAGAAATGATGCTGACTTGTAGAGTAACCGTTTCCTTGCTTTTCCTTAAAGTTCTACTACCTATGTATTCTTAAATAGTATGCCTTAGTTGTTCACTTTGTAAAATTTTGTATTAATTGAAACATTCGTGTACTCTTTTGTGACTTTTCTGCAACATTATATTTCTTAGTTTTTTACTATATTAGTCTGTAATTTTTTTAAAAAGATTTTATTTATTTGACAGAGATAGACACAGCAAGAGAGGGAACACAAGCAGGGGGAGTGGGAGAGGGAGAAGCAGGCTTCCCGTGGAGCAGGGAGCCCGATGCGGGGCTCGATCCCAGGACCCTGGGATCATGACCTGAGCCAAAGGCAGATGCTTAACGACTGAGCCACCCAGGCGCCCCAAGTCTGTAATTTTTATTGTTGTTAGGGTACGAGGTGATTATACTGCAGTTTATTCTATTGTTGGTTGATGTTGAGATCACTTCTGTTTTTGGACAATTTTACATTTTAATGTGTGCTTGCTGCGGCATACAAAGCATAGTGCTCACTAGGGTTTCTATGTAGGAGTGGAAATGCTCAATCAGTGAAGACTTCAGTTTTTTCAAATTTATTCGATGATGGCAATGTATTTTCCAAAGTGGTTATGCCGATTTACATTTCCTGTATCAGTGACTGTGAGTTCCTGAGGGCTTGATAATTTATTTTTCAATCTTCTGCTATCTCCAGACCTTGTGAAGCTATGATGATCCTGAATTTGGACTGAACAGTATATAAAATCACTTTCCTTTAGCAGCAGCCACACCAGCTGTTTCGGGTCCTGTGCTCGAACACTATGGGAGGTCCCTTGGTGTGCGCTGTATTTCATGGATTCTTGATCCTCAGTAAGTCAGGGCTGGGATGAATACTCTCAGGACGTTGGGTCTTTGATGTGACTGCCTTATTTTCCAGGGACAGAAACTGAGGTGTGGCAGAATGAGAGGCATGGGCTTTGAGCCTCCTTCCCTGTCTGGGTCCGATGAGCCTCCCTCTGTGCCATGATGGGAAATGCTGATTGATTGGCACAGTCTACTCACTTCCTCTTCATGTCTGGGTGATTTTGCTCCCGGGATGTGACAGGTCATACCTTCTAATGTTAGCCATTAGAACAATTACAAGTAATTCTGTTTTGGTAACATTAGTTCGCATAACTCCTGGCATTAGCCACACAGGAAGAGACATATTTATTTGGTTAAAAATACATTTTAAACACTGCCCCCCACTTCTGCCAGATTGTATAACCCCTTTTCACAGCTTGTTTTCCTGACTGCTGTTAAGAATCTGAAACTCTATAACAAGCAGAATTATTTATATATGTCATGGTGTTTCCTATTTCAGGCTGTTTGCCTGATTCTGGGCTCTGAACTTTCATACTGAGTGAGAAGGCTCTCTCTCAAAACATCTTGGTCAGCATCTTATTTGTTTCCTTCACACATCAGAAGATCCTTTCTCCCCTTGCCTTCCCACCTTCCCAGGAGGTGGGTAGATTGGGAGGGAGGGAGGGAGAGGGACAGTTTCAGCAGTGAGCCATTGTTTCTCACAAGTTTGCTGTGCTCTCCTGTGAACTGGATGTGAGATTGGAGCCCAAGGAGGGAATGGGGAGCTGGACTAGCAGAACAGGCCTGGAAAGTGTTCCAGAGGAGGAAGCAACTTCTGCCCCCCCACACAGTCAACCAGGTTGAATAGAGTGAACTCCTACCCAAAGTCAAGGGTATTTGGGGCACTGCCCAAAGCAGTATAAGGCATTCCATTTAAATTGTTGATGCTCTACTTGCCTTGACCAATGGTTTTCTTTCAAAAGGGAATGCAATATGTTTAGCTGTTCCCTTTTGGTCTTCGTCTTGGAAGAGAATTGTGTCCCATATAACCATGCAGTATTTCTTACCAGATTGAGATTGGGATCTATGACTTTGAAATTCCATTCGAGGGTGGCTGGTTATGATCTCATGCTGACATACATGTTGAGGAGCGTACTTGTGCATTTGTGTTTGTCTTGTTACCTGATCCTAACCAGTCCCTTCCTCGTTATTATTTAAGAAGGAAAAAAAAAAATGGAAATGTTCTCAAACATGCCTTGTTGGGAATCTGTTAAGAATGAAAACCCTTCCTTCTAATAAAATGAGTTTAAAGGTCAAAAACTTAAAGGGTAAAATAAAGATAAGTTCTTCAATAGCCTTTTGAAGATATCAGGTATATTAAACAGATATCTGGCAGGTGTGCACTGCTTTGTTTTTAGATGTTTTGGCATTTCAGATGTCATGTGATGGGGGGGCAGGGGGTCTGTGCTGTCACACAGACAGGTGATGGAGCAAATGCACAGTGAAGTTGGTGGTATTTCACTGAGAGGGCTTATTTACATATTTGAAATATAAGACTTCACGTTCTTGATCTGGATAAAAGAATAGTCTAAACCACTAAAAATGTAAGCTAAGCAATTTTCTTCTGCATTTGTGCAGTGGAGTATTTCCTTCTGATTGTTTCAAATTAGAGTGTTGTTGGATGCTGGCTCCCCAAATAGCATCCCCACAGTCTGCTGGTGAGACAAAGCTGAGCTAACTGCCTAGCCCAGTAAGGGAGACCGCCTCCGTGGAGCCTCAGCAGCCTCTTCCCGGAGAGGGCAAGGTTGGAATTTACTGAGAAACTGAAGGTTGGTTTAATGATGGTCTTCTAATGCAGAGGATCGGTCATGCGTAATGCAGGGAGTTGGATTAGGATTGGATAAGGATCATGGTATAATAAAGATTGGTTTTAGGGCTTAAAAGGATGCTTTTTACAGGAGAATTGATGGGTCTTGAAGGAATGATGAACAGACTATCATTTGCCGTGGGTAGAGTCTCCTGGAGTAGTGAAATTATGTTAATGAAGACAGTGGAAAAGTAAAGTTAATGCAGACTGCCAGCTGTGTGGAGAAGTAGTTAGTTTTTGTCCTCAGTGTCCAAACTCCGAGAGAGTGAGCAGCTTTTGTTCACAGATTTTAGTCGAGGTTTCAGAGATGGAACTAAGAATGATAGATGCTCCAAATAGCAGCTGCAGTCATATCCCTAAAGCTCACTTTCATGGGTACTCATCAGGGGAAGAGCCCCCTTAGTCATATATTCATTCATTCATTCAATATGCAGGTATTTTTAGACACATACATGTGCCGGGCACTATATTGGGGTAGAAGACGGAAGGGGTCCCTCCCCTCTGGCTTTTCCTACAGTGCAATCCCGTGTACTTTAGACAGCTTTCCTATTACAGCTGCAGCCAATAACATTATTTAACCTGAGGGTATATGCAATTCACATTCTCACTGCATGCATTCCAGCAGATCTTGAGTGTTAGGATTTTCAGGTTTAGTTTGTGAAGATAAGATTTGCTTTAAGGTATGTCTTGATGTCTAGGGAGTTCATGGGCCCACCTTTTTTTTAATGTAAACAAATTTATTCTTTTCCACATTTCCAGTGTAATATTTATCATGAGCCAGCTGTGTTCCAGGCACTGAGTATTACAGTAGAAATACAGTTGTACAAACTATGTGCAAATAAGGCAATTTGAACATACACAAATAATGGATATTTTAACAGTTGCCATTCAACTCCACAAATACTGGATGACTTCAGTTTGTCAGATATTATGTTAGGTGTTGAGAATAATAAAACCCCTCAGCCTCTACAGTGATATACTCCATAATGTAAAAGTTGCAAACACCACTGTGAAAACTCAGATACACAGATTAACCAAGGGCCATGTGAAGAGGCCCAGGCTGAGCTGTTGAAGCAAAGCACTAAGGGGGTTTGCCAGCCCTGAAATAATCCCAGGAATCTAATAGATGCGCTAGAGCACCTCCGTGAAGTTGGAGAATGACCATGGTCTCAAGTTTTCTGGACATGGGAAACCCATTTCTTTCTTTCTTTCTTTTTTTTTTTTTAAATAATTGGGTTTTTGTTTTAGATTTTATTTATTTATTTGAGAGAGAGAGAATGAGAGAGAGAAAGAGCACATGAGAGGGGGGAGGGTCAGAGGGAGAAGCAGACTCCCTGCCGAGCAGGGAGCCCGATGCGGGACTCGATCCCAGGACTCCAGGATCATGACCTGAGCCGAAGGCAGTTGCTTAACTAACAGATCCACCCAGGTGCCCGGAAACCCATTTTGCCCTAGCTTCTCATCAGGGGAGGAGCACCTCTGCAGCTAAAGAGGGGAAACAGGGACTTGCTTACGGTTGTGGCCTCCGAGAGATTGCCCTCCTGAAGTAGCAGCATGTCCTTCAAGGGCAGCTGAATGCGCTTGTTTTTCCGGGCTGACTTTACTGCACAAGTGAAAGGCGATGTGAATGTGTGCTGTAGGGAGTAGAAAGAGCACTGTACCAGTGATGGGCGGACCTGGCTCCAGCACCTCCTGGCTACCTACATTTGGACACATCACTCAGCCTGTCCACAGCAGTAAAATGGGGGTGCCGGGGTGGCTCCATCACTTGAGTGTCCGTCTCTTGATCTCACTCAGTTCAGGTCTTGATCTCGGGGTTGTGAGTTCAAACCCCACGTTAAACACCTACTTAAAATAAGGTATTTGGATTAGATGCTTTTGATGGTTCCTTCCAGTTCTGACATTCTTGTTGTGTCTAAATCTATGGTATTATAGATAAAACATAAAAGACAAAGTTTGTAAATGAAGGAACTAATACAGTTTGTTTTTATTTTCAGTTTCTTTATGCAGAGAGTCTCTTCTACACCTGGCTATGAGATGGGGCTTACCTAAGCTCTCTCATTTCCTGTTGTGCCTCCCTGGGGGAGTTCAGGCTTTGTCTTTACCCAACAAAGAAGGTGCCACACCATTAGAATTAGCTTTACGAGCCGGTCACTCCAAGCTGGTTGAAGACATCACAAAGTGAGTTTGGCTACTTGATAGATTGATTCTCTCTTGATCTGTTCCTATATAAAGTGTTCCAAGTACTGTGGAAGAATTGAAATAACCAGACCACAAGTTAATGTTGGTTTCTGTTTTACCATTAGTTTTCATGTATAAAGTGCAGAGTACATGAACAGATTTTACAGATATATTTGGTATCAACATTTCATGGAGGGGTAGTTAGGGAAAAAATGTCTTGAAGGGCTTCGTAGGGGACTGTCAGGAAGAAAAAAGTTGGGAAATACTAGTCTAACCCCTACTTACATTTCAGGTGCCACCTTAAATAAGTGCTTCAGAAAGCCATCCATGTCAGGGTCTTTAATGATTATGATTAATTTACAATATGGTGATTAAAATTATTAATTCACAATATCAATCATAATTTATCATTTTAAATATAGTCATCATTTGTTACCTAGGTCTCCATCCTGTATCACTTGAGGGCTGAAATTATTTGTTTACCTACTGCAATATTTCTAGTACAGTTTCAGCCGATAACACTCATTGAAAGAATATAAATTTTTGTTGAATCAATAACAGACAAACCCTAAGATATGGTGTGGTTATTAGGATCTAGTGAAATAATGTAAAGGAAATAATAAAGTAAGGGAACTGTAAAGTTTGCTATGTTCATGATGATTATCAGCATTTTTAATGAATGAGGAATGGGTGGTTTATTACTTAGAATGGTTCAGATTGGTCATTCTTATGAAAAGGAGATTCATATATAGTGATTTCCTTGACTTAACAGGTGTTAAAAATAAATGGGAAAGTACCTTGAAAATTACAAAGTACTACATAAATATAAAATATCATCAGAGTATTATTGTATGGTGTGTCTTGATGGACTGGTTTTTCTTGTTTGACTCATGAAACTCAATGTAATTAATTTATGGTTTTATGGTACATAAATGGATATTGGAGTAGAAGTTAGAACTTTCTTCTACTTTGGTCACATGACCACCAACCAAGGGAAAAGCCCATCAAAAGGAATTGTCTTTTTCTTGGCTCTAACATGACCCCACTTGCTTTGCCCAAAACGCCAAGGCCGGCGTTACTCATTGACGTAGTCATTGTGGATGGTTCATTGTTAGATCACAGTCCTGGCTGACTTCATCTTGGGTAGCTTAGTACCTTAGTACCTTTCTACTAGGACTGGAAGATGATAATATGTTCCTTAAAAGTTTGCACATCTAACAGATCTATTCATGAATGGTATTAGAAGTAGACTGTCAGCTAAATTCTGAATATATGGTGAAGCTTCCATTTTCTAAATTAATAACAGTCTTTTGGCTCATGCTCAGAGTCCGTTTACTTCAGTGGCATGTTAGCATGGGGAGTTGTTTTCCAGAAGATTCTAGTAATTAATATCAAGAGTGTGGGGAGATGCCCCAAATCTTAAGAGTACAAGGATCTCTCTTTATTGTTCCAATCCTCGGAGATAGCATTTATTTGATTAAAAGTATGTTTTATATATATATATATTCATGAAGTGTATATTCATTAATTAAATGGGGTCATGTAAGAAGAGGAAAGAGCCATAGAGCTAGCACTGTGAAGTGAAGAATCTGGAAGCAATCGTAGGGATGTGACAACATGCTGAGGTGGGCTGCTCTCTGGAAGCACTAGCATTTTCCTCCTGATGCTCCTTCACTGTTGCAATTGCATGACCTTGGGAGCCATCCAGAATATTATACTAACTGCGAAGCCTACGTATAGCTAATAAATGTGCAACTGTTGTTGGCCAAAACAGAACAGAAAGTAAGTTTATTTTCAAGAATTTAGTTTGGGAATGTTGTTTCTTTGTTTATGGATGTTTTCAAGAATACAACAAGATCAAATGTATGCATGTTTTAATTTGCATGACAAAATGATTTACAACAGTGGACCAGTGTGCTATGAATATCCCACTTGTTTGTAACATCCAAACCTCACTGTGCTTCCTGGAGGTCATATCTGTTTTCCACTGTAATCACCTAATAAGCTGTTGGCTGCCAGCTAATTTGTTCTACCACATGTGACCCCGTTAAAGCAAGAGGCATCTTTTTGAATTAAAAAGAGAATGAAATATTGAGGTAAAATACTATGTTTAAAAGTCAGTAGTTTCATTAGTTTCTACAAATGATGGTAAAGTATGTAGTGTATGTGAATAGCTTCTCAATTGGCATCTTGTCTAGGTAGAAGAAGGTGGTTTTATTAGCATCTGTTTACATGATCTTACATACTTATTGTCAGTACATGGCTTTCATGGATCGTTTTGCCAGTTGGATTGGTAATAATGGGGGCAGTGAGGGTAGTGGGATCTTGGGGTTGATGTCTTGGAAACTGCCAGCGGTTTTGATTTGTGACATTTCAGTTTCCAGGGCAGACATTCTCCAGGCTTCTCCCGAGTGCAGCTCAGCGAACAAGCTTTCCTGAAGTATATTCACTCATCAGAGACACTGACCCTGACGCTGAACCACATAGCCGAGCATTTGTTGGAGGCAGATATTAAACTCTTCAGGAAATACTTTTGGGACAGAGCCTTTCTTCTCAAGGTGTGTGTGTCTCTTCATTCTGGTGTATAAAAACTCATACTCCTTGAGAGTACAGACTGCAAACTCATTATTTTGGGAACCGTGTTTTGGAGGATAGCACCTTTTTTTTTTTTTTTTTAAGATTTTATTTATTTATTTGTCAGAGGGAGAGCACAAGCAGGAGGAGCAGCTGGCAGAGCTGACAGAGGGAGAAGCAGACTCCCTGCTGAGCAAGGAACCGATGCGGGACTTGATCCCAGGACCCCAGGATCATGACCTGAGCCAAAGGCAGCCGCTTAACCAACTGAGCCACGCAGACATCCCCTTAGCTACATTTTTCAATCTTGTTTTAGTTCTCTTCTCATAACACGTTTTCCTGTTAATCAGAATGTTGAGAATTTAGTTCTAGGCTAAATTATTAGCCTATTAGGCTAAACTATTAGCCTGTTAATCAGAATGTTGAGAATTTAGTTCTTGGCTAAAATTAATAAGGCAACTAGGAAATTTAAGTGTCCTACAATTGCATCTAAATTTACTCAAAAGAATAAAAATTGTTTTGGGGTGCCTGGGTGGCTCAGTCAGTTAAGCGTCTGCCTTCAGCTCAGGTCATGATCCCAGCGTCCTGGGATCGAGCCCTGCATGGGGCTCCCTGCTCAGTGAGAAGCCTGCTTCTCCCTCTTTCTCTCCCACTCCCTCCTGCTTGTGTTCCCTCTCTCGCTCATTCTCTGTCAAATAAATAAAATCTTAAAGAAAAAAGAATAAAAATTGTTTTAACACACCCCATTTACAAAAAAAAAAGTATTTTCCTATTTCATTTTTGTTTTGTAATCAGGAAGCAGCATTCCCTGATGCCCTTTTCAGGTAGCCTGGGCAGTTAACCCTCCCCAAAATACTAGGGTGTCAGGGTTACTGCTGGCCCCAGGTAATCACGTGGGCCTTGAGCCTGCATGGTGAGACCTCTTAGGACCCTAGGCACTCAGGCTCCCATCTCCTTAGTGCCTCCCAGGACATACCTGGTCTGTTCTACCCTGTAATTCCATGATGGGTCCTCGAAAAGACAATACTGCCTCTTGAGGGTAAGGCGGGTGGGAGTTAACAGCTACGGAGGGTAGGTGAGTGGGCACTTCTTGTTTCCTGCCCCTCTGTGGTTTGGTTAACTGTGTATATTTTCATGTTTTTTTGTTGCTGTTGTTATCTGGCCTCAGGATGTTCTGAAATGGTCAAGAGCAAGGCGCTTGACACTGAGTTTAATTAATAATATGCCCATGAGGGTTCAGGGGTCTGGGCCATTTGCTGGGCTGCCTGCCCAAGTGTGCCCATGTGTTTGTTTGGGAACATGTGTGGATGCAGTCTTGGGCTGTTTCACTGTTTGGCACATCAATATATAATTCTGTGGCTCTTCATCGCTCACCGGCCGGGCAGTAACCATTTGAAAAGAAAATGCAGAGAGCTCCAGGAGGGCACTTTTTCTCTGAGGCCCCCAGCTTGCTCTCAGCCAGGGCAGCCTGCACCAGCATATGCTGGCTTGCAGAGCAAGGCCCGTGCACATCCTGGGTCTTCCTTGTGATGGGGATCCTGCCCCCCGGACCCTGTGTTCTTTGGCATGGGGAGGGGTTTCTCAGGATGGGCACCTGCAGAAACAGTGACTCTTGTTTACAGTTTCAAGATTTTCTGTTCTTCTGTCCCTTTTTGGTTCATGCATTATGTTCCTGAGGACCTTCTGGTTGTGATGTGGGGAAGTAGTAGAAGATTCATGGCGGGGACGTTTGCAACCCATGCCTCTTGGTTCCCCCAGTGGCTGTCCTCCTCTTCCTGGGGTGCTGCCTGAGTGTACTCCAAGCAGCTTTACCCACCCTGTCTTTCCAGACCTCTCCAGACTGTCTGGCCTGTCCCAGCTCCCAGACCTATGTTTGTGATTTCCATCTCCTTGTCGCATATCTGAAGCCTCCGATTGTTTTCATTGATTTTTTTTTTTTTTCTTTCTTAGGTTCTTGAAGATCAAGAAGCCAGGCCAGAGGAAAGACAAGACATGCCATCCAGTGCTGCAGAAACTGAAGAAGGTACCCAAGCTCCTTCCCTGCACTGAGCAACCCAGAAAGTGCTCAGGACTAACAAGTTAACTGGTGGTTGAAGTGGGTAGTGAAGTGCAACAGGGACCAAGGGCCTCACAGACAGGATCGGGGTTGTGGGATACAAGGACGCTGGTTCCTCTGACAGTGTCAAACAATGTAATCCGCTTTCACTTTTTATTCAATTAGCATTTACGGAGTGCTCTTGGCTAGGCCCTGGGCCAGCTTCTGCCACCATCCTGAACTTAAGGGTACTCTTCTGATTCAGTGTGTTTCTTCTAGGCTGTCCTTCATCAGTCCCTGGTCCCTCAGCTTGTTCCACCTTTGTGGAGCCCTGCTCTGCCCTGGGCTAGTCAGTCTTAAAGGGGATGGAGATGACCACTGGCATGCAGGGCTGAAGGCAGGGGATGCTGGATGTTCATCAGGGTGCAGGAACCTCTGCACCTCAGGGTGCAGACAGTCATACCCAATCCAGGTTGTCCCGCACAGCTGTTGACAGTCCTACGTATCTACTTGTGGGAGTCCACAGCAAGAGGTATATTCTTAATAATGCATTATTGAGGGATGCCTGGGTGGCTCAGTCGGTTAAGCATCTGCCTTCAGCTCAGGGCATGATCTCAGGGTCCTGGGATTGAGTCCTGCATCAGGCTCCCTGCTCAGCAGGCAGCCTGCTTCTCCCTCTGCCTGCCACTCCCCCTGCTTGTGCTCTCTCTCTCTGCCAAATAAGTAAATTAAAAAAAAATCTTTAAAAAAATAATGCACCTGCAGGAATCCTGTACTCTATTTTCTCCAATGTGGCAGTTTATCTGGGCATACATGCTTCTACTTCATTTCATTTCAGGTTTTTTTCCCTTTTTCCATATTCAAATAAGTCGATCTGTTAGCAAGTCTTCATGATCGACGCAAGTTTTGATTCTGGGGAGCATTCTTACCTTTTTTCTTAAATAGTCCTGACTTCTTGAACAGATTCTGATTTCATGTTTTGTTTTTCATTTTTATCCCAAATCTTAGTAGTTGTAGGAATCTGACTTTGTCATTATGTCTTGTAAGGTAGTTAGGGCAACAATTTATGTATTGAAATACGTATTATCTGATTATCCATTCTTTCCTTTTCCTTTATATTTTAGAATATTTTTTATTTCTTGAAATTATGCATGAGGATAAGGTTATACATAATAAAGCATGGTTACATTATCCAATTTCAAGAGAGTGGAGGGACATTACAAAACATCTGTTACATGTAAAGGGACAATAGTCTGATAGGGCTGAGAACCACCATGCTGGATGCTGGGGTTAGGGAGAAAAGATAGGACAAGACCCTTGCCCCGAAGCCACCAAAGTTGACTGCTGGTGAATAGTTTGATTCTGCTTATATTTGGCAACATAGACTGAGTTGCATTTCACTTACTTGTCAGGTAGTAAAATCTTAAACTCTTGGCCCCCATGTTTGTTAAAAAGTAGTCTTGGATAAGGAAGGTTTGTAGCAAGTTGTTGGAAGTCTGTGAGTCCCATCCATATTGTACACACTCCTGGGTTAAGCTCAGCAGCTGGGCTTGCTGTTCAAGCTGGACGTGCTTGGGCCCCCATGGAGTTGCCCTCACATGTGTGTTCTGTAGATGACGTGCTGGAGGCTCTGAGGGGGCAGTGGGTCCTGCCTGCCTAAGGAGGCCGTGGGTTACTTTATGCTTTCTCCTAAAGACCTGTAGGAGGAAACTCTTTCTGGTTTCATGTCAGGAATGCTGGCTTCTCCTGAACATTTGGCTCGCTTTTATTGCTCTACCTATAACTTACAAGGTGTTTTTCTTGTAGCTGGTTAACAAAAACAAAAACTTGGTGCTAAGTTTCTGACCTGGAAATGTGTAGTGTACTGTTAACTGCATTTTTGTGTCCTTTTGTGCCCTTATATTTGTCCTTGCTTTTTTTCTTGTGATTTTTACTTGTGTATTTTGTGTATTTTCTTCCCTTCTAATTCACCTTTAAACTAATTTAGAGCAAAGTAGGGTCTGAATAAGTGTTTAAATTCTTGCCCTTAAGGGGCTGACAGTTGAGGTTGGGGCAGAAAAATGAGCTGCCCCAGCCCATTATGATAAGTGCAGTAGGAGTCATATGCAAATAATGCTGTGAGAAATCTGTGGCTTGTGATGGTGGAGTGGTCAGGGAAAGCTTTCTGGAGGAGGTGACCCTGGAGCTATGATAGAATGGAGGGAAAGAAATTCCAGATAAGGAAATGTACGCAATACAGAGTTCTGGATCACATGATGAATTGAGGGAAATGAAGATCATTTTGTAGTCCTGTTGATTAGGGGTGTGTGGGGCGTGTGTATGTGTGGGGGGAGGGCACGTGTGTGTTGTCAGTAACACAGGCTTGAGAGGGAGGCATATTGACCTGGCTTGTACACAAGGCAAGGAATTGGAACTCCACCCTGACAGCTGTGGGAGCTGTTTCAAGCAAAAGCAAATTAGGTTAGATTATTACTTTCGAAAGGTCGCTGTGAGAATGTGGAGAGTGCATTGGAGGGTTTGGTGGGGGGTGGGGGGGATGGAGGGGCACTGCTGTAAGTAATACAGAAGAGGGTCTGCACCACAGCAGTGTAATGATCGTGGAGAGGTGGGGACAGATGGGTACTGCCCTGAAGGTGGAAGATGTCAGGTGGGTGTCAATGGTGAGGGAGAAGGGCGATTCCTCCAGGCCTTGTGTGTTCCTAACTGGGTTAGACCTTACAGGAAGCAGGATCATGACAAAAAAAAGTACCTCATTTTAGATGGGTTGAGTTTGATGGGTCTAGGAGCAGCCAAGGTAATACACCTGTGGTCATGCAAGCAGTAAGCAAAAGATAGAAACTCAAGTGCTCTAACTTCAAATCATTAGTGTGTAATGTATTGTATAGACCTTCTAGGCAATGCTTTGATTTGTATATTCTTGGGGGACATATTAGAAACTGTTCGCAGGTTCCAGCAGGGGGCAGTATTCAACTAAAGTGGAACTGCTCCGTTTTTGTCCATTCATAAAGCTCTAGGCAACTCAACTGGAAAAACAACGCATTTTGAATGTCAAAGTCTGCTTCCCCCCCTTCTTCTTTAAACCCCAAAGGGGAACTTTCCATTTGTGACCTACTAGAAGATTCTTAAGAGATCATGTTTTTGTGTTCCTCCAGGGGCAGTGAGTGGAGTGGGAGGCCCTAAGCTTGTATCTGCAGCTGCCATCGATTAAAAGATGAGAGCGTTATCCTGGAGATGGGCTTTACTGTCCCCGTTAGTGTGATAAATGGTGTCATTATTGTCTGTGAGCCAATTATGTTTCCATAGTTTCGTAACTGTAATCATACTCCCAGAATGATGGGAAGTTACTCCAAATGAACGAAATGGCCAAAAAATCTTCTCATTTTTAATTCACTCAAATGAACAAGCTAATTATTAGTATTAATCCACCAACCAACTCTTTTGTCCCTTGCCTTCTTTGTTCCTACTATTCTAGGATTTCCTGAAGAGCATTGTTCAAAACCCCAATCTTGGAAGATGCTTTGAAAAATAAGGATTCTTTGACCAAATAAGTTAAAGATGCAGTCTCTGGGGCCATAAAACAAACAGAACCACCGCAATACCCCTGACCATTACATGACTCCATTTCATTTTATATTCTTCTGTAGTTAAAAACCAAACCAAAACCCTATGTGATTTGCTGTCTCAGCTTCTGTGTTAATAGTCCCTTATTCTTTTGGTTTCTCTGCATTAATTATGTTCCACATTTTCATTAACAAGGAAATGGGGAGTTGGGACTGGAGCATAACTTGTAGTCACACAAGACAGGGGGCAGAATCCTTTTCTGCAGGGCTGAAGCGGGAGTTTCCCCGCAGGGCAGAGAGGCTTCCTCTTCATGAGCCCCATGAGAAAGGCGGGAGAGTCTGTGGATCCAGGCACAAGGCACAGCCTAGGCAGGCAGTTGAGAATCCTGCAGGTTCATCGACTTACCCATTCGGTGAATGTTTGAGTGCTCACTTGCTGACAGGCAGGGTTCTAACCACTGGTGACATAGCAGTAACCAAAAAAGCAAAGGGAAAAACCCTGATCTCGAGGAATTTACTGTTCTATAACTGCCCTCCAGTATTTGTGGGATGCCAGGCACCATTCTAGGTGCTGGGAATGCAATTGTGAGCTGAGCAAAGTTGGGACATTCATGGCGTGCACTTGCCAGTGGTCACTGAGAGGGACACCTCCGGGTGTCAGGAGTGTTTTCCCCATTTTATGGCAGCACAGAGAGATCACGTAACTTGTCTGAGGTGAGACAGCTTGCCCAGGCAGTCAGAAGGCCAGGCAGGTGCATTCTCTTACCTCTCACACTGTAGACTATCCACCGCCCTTCGGTAATAGCACACTTAGCTATGTAGTCTTGGGGCTGCTGGTGGAGAGTCCTCTCCAGCATTTGTGTGATGGTGAAGTGCAAAATTGGAATCATTGCCTTGAAATGAGCTTTCTTCCACATGGCTGACCTGTCTCATAAAGTTCTTACAAGGAAGATTTATGACCCACGTGCACAGGCATGTCTCAATGACACACAGCAGCTACGGGCAGACTCTGCTAAAACCTCAGCTCTGTCATGATCTGGCTTCTGAACATCGTGCGGGTTATTCAGCTGTGTTTCCTTTTTTGCAAAATGGTGGAGTTGGGCGTATCATTTAATACTTCATGGTGAGGCTTAAATGAGAAAATACAGATGGAGCCCTTGGACTAGTGTCTGACCTTCGATGCTTAGCCATTGGGAAGCATCATAGCAAAGCTAGCTTATTATAAGTGCAAGTTGTAACATATGCTAGGCTGGATTTAGTGGTAATCATGCATGTGTTGGGATACCAAGACGAGGCTCTTCCTGTCACAGTAACGAGGTGAGCAGATTGTTTTGTTTGAACGTTCTTTAGATGAGGATGCAGCCCTTCTCTGTGTGCTCTGGGTGAGTGAAATGTGAAAGAGGGCGTTGCGTGGTTGGGTGGGGGATT